TGCACAAAGCAAGACTGAGATGGCATAAGGCTATTACTAAGATAGTTTCGTATTGCTGAAAATTTAAAATCTACCTGAGGCCTAATAAAAATTAAAGGAACACTTTTCCCCAAGCAGGAAAGAGTGAGCTTTAAAAACAAAATGCGTGGAACGGCTTAATCTCCCAGAAATTAGTTCCCTACCACGGGATGCCAGGTTACCCGACAAAGCCCAAAAAGGCAAAAGCTGATTTACCGAGGTTGCTACAAGGACGTTAACCTGTCCTGTTCGAAAGAGCTGAACAACACGACTGCGTTGTTGCTGAGACCGATCGCCGTGGATACAGACAGATTTGAAGCCCTGACCGACCAAATAGCGATCAACCCGATCAGCCTCTCGCTTAGTGTTACAAAACACAAGTATTCGGTCATTTGAGTCTGCGGTAAAATGCTCCGTTGAAGCATCCTCATTCTTCTCGATAGGCATATCTAAAGAGAAGAAAATGGGGTACTGATAAGTAATCTGCCGCCTACTATGTAATTTGAAAAAGACCGAAAGTTATCCGAGGAGTAATTTGATTGACTGCTCAGTCTGCTTAAAAGCATGAAAAAGAAAATCAAGGTCGAACTTGAAAGAGCGATAGTGTACAAAGATATACAGTATTTCTACCTTAGGCCATTTGCTCAAATGTATGAGGAAACTATTAACTACAAACACCACTAAAAGATCCCTGCAGTTTTGCTGGGAATGCATTAAAACAGCCAGAGTAAAACACTAGAAAGACATCTCGGGGTGCAGCGGCAAGCAGTTAGTAACGCAGATAACGAAGTTACCTGTAATAGCTCGGTTTAAGACAATCACAAGACGTTCGAGCAAGTGATATCCTCGCGCTTCTCCGTCGTCTTCGACCCATTGGATTTCCTGAACAATTTCCCTAGGCACAGTTGCCTTGAGTTGCCTAAAAATATCTTCGTTGGACTGGTGCCCACGTTTGACGGCCTGACCCCACTGGGGCACAATGAGATCACTCTCATCCTTGTCGTTGTGAACAATATTTAGAGAAATGCAACGAGACCCGCGAAGAAAGTCACGAGCTAGAAGGGCAACGTCGGGAGGAAATGTGGCGCTAAAAAGAGCCGTCTGCCGACTTCCGTCATTGGGAATGCCATAAGCGCGAGACTGGATGATCTTCCGCAACTGCGGTTCAAAGCCCATATCAAGAAGCCGGTCTGCTTCATCAACTATCAAGGTTCTAGAGACGGAACGTAAACGTATTCTAGAAAGACGCAACTAACAACAAAAAAGGAGGTAATTCCAAAAAACCTTAGATTTCAGACCTTGATTAATGCTAACCAATGGCTTTCCTCAAATAGAGTACCTTTCTGTGTTTGGCGACTTAACAATGCTAATTGGCCAGATGGAAGTTTAATGCAAGCAAATAAATGTGCAGATTATATTTTGCACCTTAGAAGCGGTTAGAAACAATCCCGTCGTAAAATGCAAACAACTCAAACTGCTACTGCATGATAAATTAAAAACGTGGGAGTGTGAAGCAGGAGTAAAAAGAGTTAAAATAGAGTTGACGCAATAAAATGTTTACCGAATATTCCTCGATGAAACACCGGTACCAAGCAAAATCGTCTCAATCAGGTTATTGAAATCCTGAAGTTCATTACCTACTACTAAACGAGTTGGTATACGTCATTCTCGCGTAGCTTCGCATTTAATGTCGAGTAGGTTGTTGCCTCTTTCTGCGTCTTACGCCAAAAATTATAGCACGTATTGTGGCGCTGTGCCCTTGACCCATTTTACGCTTGGGAGTGATTGTGCTCACCGTGAATTTTATACTAAAGGACCACGTGATCATT